GACTGCTGAACTGGAAATGCTCAATGTCATGCAATGGGGGCTGTGCTGGTGCTGACAGCCAGGAAGGCTTAGGGTGACCCTGCTTGTGGTGGTGACATGGGATCAAGCTTCTTTTCCTAAAGAGAGCACCCCCAGGACCTCAGAAAGCTACAGTTTACTTTGGAGCTGTGCAGCAGCTAATGATTCTCTTAGATGTTTGGAGGAAGCCTTTGGAAGAATAACAAGTGCTCCTTTTGGGGGCCTATACTAGAGAAAAGACTTTCACAGCACTCAGAAACCCAGAAACATGCAGGGAGAGTGGCAGATGGTTGTAAAATCCCTCTGAGGTGCAGTGAGAGGCTGGGCAAGCATACACAGGATGGGTGCCACATGGTGGACACTCACTGCAGACCCCAGAAGTGCTACACCACCAAAAGGACATGAATGTGCTGGAAGAGTCCTGCTTTTCCACTTCCAGAAGATACCTCTTTGGCAACTGCAAAGAACACTCCACTTCTGCAGGCTACAGCAGGTGACTGTTGTCTCTATGTCCAGCTCAGGGGACGACAGATGCTATAATGCTGGCCCATGACCAATCCCAAACCCTTTGTGCACAAAGTGTGTGCCTCCTTTCACAGTCATACCCTGCTCTTCTTTATTTTAAAGTAAATTACTCCATGGGCTTTACGCCAGCACTTCAGATCCTACACAGTCTATACATCAGTCTGATCCCAATGCAGTGTAGCTCCAGCAAGGTTCATCTTATGGGACTGGAGGGAAAAACAAGAGGGTCTTGTCCCAGAGGAAATGCCTGGGTGTGAGAAAACACCAGTTTCCCCAAGGCACACTGACTTTGTACACAGCAGGATATGAACAGCCAGAGATGTCAACACAATGTCAGCCCCCTGCTCCCACTTGCAGAGACCTGGGCTCAGGGGTACAAACCACACGGGCCAGACCTTCACCCTCTCCTTCACAGCATCTTCTCTGCCTGGGAGGGCAGTGCAATAGAGCACTGAGTGGCAACACCTGCTGCTGTGGTTGCTGTCCATATGCTTATGGGTTTTGTATATGCTGGTGGAAAAGCCAAAATCTGCACTGGTAGTGAAATCTGTGAGGTTTTATGGCAAGTCAGGCAAGTATGGCCATGTAATCTATGTCAGAGCTGGAAGTGTCCTGTAATTTTCTAGAGTTTCCCCTGAGATTCCCCCATCAGTCTCCCATCTTTCTTACTCCAATGGGAGCAGAAGCCCATCGCCCAAGATCTGTCCCCACCATCCCCTTCCCATACATCATGTGCCTCAGTTCCTCGTGCCTTGAGTGGCAAAATGAAATTCTGCCTCTGCAGGTGGGAAATGTCAAGCTTTGCCCAGACCTGTGCCTGCCCGGTGCCCACACCGGCTGCACTGCTCAGAAAAGCCCAAGGCTGAAGCACTTGGCTCAGACTTGCTCTCCTGGCTTTGTTCACCATCACTCCTCATCATGCCAAATGTGGACATTGTGGTTGGTGTGGCAGAGTCACAGCCCTGGCCTGAAGTCCTTGCTTTAACAAGATGCCCTTTATGAAACCATTTCTGCCAGGGTCATTTAATGAGAAGTGCTTTGCCCTGTTTTATCTCAGTCAGATGCCTCGTGGGACTGGCAGGAGGTTTGCTCCAGTGGGGCCGGTGTCTCATCCAGCAGCCAGAGGCTCTCAGAAGTGGCTTTTCTGAAATTAGTCTGCTTGTGACTCACAAACTTGTGTCTTGCTTTCAGATGAGAGAGAGAGATAGAGGAAGGATGGGTAAATAGGCAGACTGGTGCAAGTTTCATTCCAGGCTCTGCAAATTGCTTTAGCTACATTGGAGATGCTGGTGGTGGGCTTTAGACAAGCAATTCCTGCCTGCTCCTTCCCTCTGAGCAGAAAATGAGAGGATTTCATTTCCTCACCAGGACCAAAGCACAGTGCTAGGAAGGGGAAATGACTCCTCCCTCTTGTGTGCTGTGGGGGCCATGAGAAGTGCACAGGGCTCCATCACCAGGGCTGCTGGGTTTGCCTGGGAAACCTTCACCAAAATCTGTTGCATTTCCCACCAGCCTTCCCACATGCCTGAGATCTGGAGGAGGGAACTCTGCATGAAGTAAGCAGCCACAGGGAGGAGTAGGGAAGGAGCCAGCAACAAGAAGTTGGGTAAAACTTCGTGTGTCCCATGTCCCTTCCTGCTGGATACTTGCTTCACACATGGTGGGTGAAAAGCTCCCAGGAAGTGATTTCAGAATATGCACAAGATTAAAAGAAAATGGTTGTTTTCCTGCTGGATACAAGAGAGCCAAGAGTACAGCTACACACCGGACTGCAACCATCTAATTACTGGAAATTTGAATTATTGGAAATGTGTATTTCATTGGATGCATTTAGAAATAATAGCTGTATTTGCCAGTGAGGCTTCTGATACAGTGACAAGAGAAGCTCCTAAGATATTTGTGGGGTTTTCACTTCTGGAATTGGTTTATCTGGTGTTAATGAAAATCTTATTCCCTCCATTGCCAGCCAAAATTGTTTTCCATCGATTCCAGGTCCTGGGGAAGGGCCCAGAGTCATGAATATGGCATTTCCTGTCTGGAAGTTGGACCCATGTACCCTAAGTATGTGTGTGTACCCTCACACAAACTAACACATCCCTTCTTGTTTATCTAGTTCAGCCTCTTGTGAAATCTTCTACCAGATTCTGTGCATTTTCAACCCAATTGCTCTGAATTTAATTACCCAACCATGTGAAAACTGTTTAAATGCAATTAGCCAATGCAATTATCCAATAATAGAATATGCCCAAAAATTAAAAGCAGCAGAAAGAAAAAAGAGGGAAGGACAAAAGAAAACAGAGGCATTTGCACCTGATTTTTTAAAATTAATTTTCCTATTTGACAGTATGGAGGGAACAACCCCCTGCAGCTAGATAAAAGATTGGTTTCAGAGTGGGAAAAAAAACAACCCCACCTTATCACTAGAATTCATTATTTGAAAACAGTTTCCTCTCTGAAAATGCTAATGAGGGAAAAAAGATTCTGTGCCATTTTCCCTGAGGTTCTCTTTGGGCCCCTGGGGGCATGAGAGATGGTGCTGCCTTGTTCCACATGAGTGGGAACAACAGTGGTCAATGTCCCATGAAGAAAAATGCATCCAGAACCTGCTGGAGCTGGCTGGTGATGCTCTCCTGTGAAAGATGCTGAGTTCTGGGGGAACCATTTGGGGATGAAGTGGGAACTTCACTCCAGATGTGTGGGCAAATGCTGTGTCATGCACAGTAGCAGCATCGCAAAGGTTTGCATCTCCCTTTACCCAAAATGGCCCTTCCAAGGACCCAAGTCAGTGATCGTATGGTCACTGACTCAGCCTTCACTGAGAGGCCCTGAGGCTGAGGGCTACTGATCAGCTCAGTCCCTTTCTTTGCTGATTCCTCACCATTTTCTGAACCAGGTGAACAACCACATTAAACATCCAGACACCAAATGAACAGGCCCTCCCAGCTCAGTAATGGAGGTTATAAGCCAAATTAACAAGTCAAGACTTAATTCTATGTGTTCACTTTTCATTCTTCATTTCACTAATTAAGCAAGAAACCTGGGTCATAAATTGGTATGATTAAAGCAATTAAGCAGCATAGAGTACACCCTTAACTGTACAGCTCATGTATCTGTGCAGATCATAGGTTGCTCCATCTGTACTTGTTTGCTTAGCCCACTCTGGACAAAGTCCTAGTAGATTTTGAGCATTTAATTGTCAACTCTTCTCTTTTTACGGTTCATTGCTTGCAAGCCCACAGATTGGACACACATCTAGAGACAAAGGGCCAAATCCTGCCCCATCCTGTCCCACTGGGAATGAACTGAATCAACAAGACAGGCGACTGTACTGCCAAGGGTGGGACACGGCAGTGCCCGGCTGCTCATGCTGCACTTTGGATTGAGCAGAAGTCAGAGGAGGAATTTCCTACCTCCTATCTACCTTGCAAGATCCACCACAGTGACCTCCCGTCCCCATTAGCTTCCCCTTTTCAGCTCAGGCTGGATCTCAAAATTTTTCCTGAACACTTTCTCTGTTTCCAGTTGGCAGCAAGGGGTGGCCAGTTTCCCGTCACAGGACTCACAGGAGTCATCCTTAAGTATTATATCCTTGAGTATTACCCTGACATAATTCATCCTTGTGCACATCCTGGAGAACCCTTGCTGCTCCCCTGTCTTCCTGCTCAGTACCAGATCATTAAGGGACCAAGTACTACCCAGCCACCACTTGCATAAATGTGCTGCAGCACTGGGGGAATCTGAACCCTTCCTGACAATGCACACAATCTCTTGGAGAAGAAATTATAAGAACATCTTCATTTAATTCTGGGCATGCAAACCAGAGAGAACAAAGTGACTTGTACTCCCATCTTAGCCATTCATCTCCAGGTTGGACTGGAGTGAAAGGCTTTGACAGGCAGATCTCTGACCCTTCATCAGCTGAGCCCAGCTGAACATCTCCCTTCCTGCCTTGTTAGGAGCTGTGGCCTCTGCAAAGGTAAGTCAGGCTTTGGGATGGATGCAGGGAAGGAAGGGCAAACCTCCAAACACCAGTATTTTTCTGAGCCCCAAGGCTGTAGGTGAAGCAGTGCATCTGCTGGCTTGAGGTGAATTTTGTTACTGGAATTTGGGATGCCTTTTGGATTAAGCATCAGGCAGCACTCACAAGGCGCCACTTAGCTGACATGTCTGAGCTCTGCCTGAAAATCTGATCTCTCTGTCGTTATTCCTAAAGCTGCCTTTGCCTCTCCTTCTTTCTTTTTTGATTCTTTTCATCCTGGCCAGTTGTAACATGCACCTCCCTGTTATGTTCTTCAGATGTGCTGCTCTGTTTTTACTTGAACTAAATAACCCTGTGCTCTTTGCTCCCCCTTTCCCAGCGTTGGCTCTTCCCCCCCAAATTGCCCATGCAGGCACTTTGTTTTCTATGGTTTTGCTTCAGCTGAGTTTGGTTACTGAATGTGCTTTCTTCTTTCCAGGGAGACTCCTGGTCCAGCCTCTGAGCTGCTTCTCCAACATATGAAGTATTTCTTGGTCTTTCCTCCGCACTGAGAAGATTTCATTGTAATGTTAAGAAGGTAGCAGTAACCTTGGACAGCTCTATTTCTGTCCCATTTTCTAAGGACACAAGATTTAGTTAGGGGTACTATGTGTGGGCATAGTTGCTGATTCCCTCACAACTTGAACCCATCAACCAAATTTAATGAAGGTTGACAGAGGGTCAGAGAGCTCAAAGACTTCAGGTTCTGAAAAGTCTCATGAATGCACCCAAGTGAGCAGACAAGGAAGATGCGCTGTCTTGCCTAACCAAAAGGCAGAATAAACACTGGTTTTTGGGCTAAAAACTCGAAACTATGATCCAAGGGTTTCAGAACCAAAGGCAAATTAAGAACATGCACTTATTTTTCTTTCAAACTTCATACTTTTGAAACCATAAAGTCTCATGCTTTTGGAGGGACCTGACTCATGACTTTTAAACCCTTGGGTATGGAAGCGGTCATGTTGGAGTCTCCTTGAAGCCAGGAGTAGTTAATAGACCATCTCAATGCCCAGAGGGTAGAGCCTCACCTCCTCCTTCCTGCTGGTCCCCTGCCATGCCATTCCTAGAGGCAGGAAAGCAGTGCTCCCAGCCTGGAGCAGTGCTATTACATCCTGATACATGATACAGGTGTCAGAGGGGACAGCACGGGACAAAGCAGATGAAAGAGTTGGGTGTACTGAGTAGTCCTGGGCATGTCTCTTTACCTTCCTGTGCTTCCACTTCTCTACTCATCCTGCAGAAACCCTTGTTGGGTGGGGGTTTCCCTGGTGTGTCTGTACAGCACCTACTACTACAGCACTCCCACCAGGCTGAGGGTGCAGGGAGGGAGTACACCAGGTCCTAAAACAAAATAGTTATGGGCACAGCAATCTCACAGGATCAGCTTCACCTTAGAGAGCAAAGGGGACAGCCTGTCTTGTATGCTGTCTTTGCTCCAGGGCTTTGTTCCTTGGATGGGTTCCCCTTGGCTAGGGTTTGTCTCACAGGCACTCATCCCAAACAACACCGCGGAGATAAAAAGCTAAGGTGTGGTTAGAGAAAGAAATGTAAGAGCGGGCAGGAAAGGAAGGCAGAAAATGGGACAGAGAAAGCACGAGACAGCTCTCAGGTTTGCCAGAACAGGTAGCTGCTGATTCAGGGCAAGATATTCCTACTGGAAGACCAAAAGGCTTCCAAGCCTGCTCAAGCAGCCAGCCCGGAGAGGCTCAGCACTGCTGCCTGCTGAGGAGCACAGCTGAGAACAGCCACCTTTGCTACCTACAGTTCCCACACGAAAAAGCCCCTCAGCTGTAACCCAGCTCCTGCCTCCATGCAGACAGCTATTTACAGGATTTCAATGGGTAGGGCTGAAATGACTCCATGTCCAGAACTGCCACTGCCAAAGGAAGGAGATGGGGGTCTTTGCAAAGGGCTTTAATAATCTCTCTGTTGCTCTGGCTGGCAGTTTTCGGCATGCATCCCACATTCTTCAGCAGCCCTTTCCTTAGCAATGAATAGGCTTTTAGCACACTCTCATAATGGTTTCTTTTCCTGTGGCACTCAGAAAAAACGTTCAGTGTGCTCCAGCGGCCGCCTCTGCTGCCTCTCCTTATCCACCAGAAAGATGTGGTGGCTCTGCTCAGCATATCCTCTGCCTCCAACAGAGCCACTCTGTCACCTCTGAAAAAAGGTGGCGTGTGAGCAAGGAGCAGAGGGTGGTTTTGCCTCTCTTCACCTTTCTCAAAGCGCCTTTACAAGCTGGGGGTGACAAGGCTAAGCAGGACCTCTTCACCTTCCCCCCAGAAGCACATGTGTCCCCCAGATGCGCAGCCCCAGTGCAGGACCAGGGGCTTCACCCTGGGGCTGACTCCCTGCTCTGTGGCTGCTCTGTGCCAGAGGTGAATTGCACTCCCTGATGCAGGTCTTGGCTCTGACCTCAGGCAGGTGGAAAGTTCACACTCCTCCTGCATTGTTTTTCTCATCTTAATTCCCAGCTGGGCTATTACTCCAAAACCTGCAGTAACAGGACTGTTACACAGCCACAGTGGTGTGTAATCTACTCTGCACAGGTATGTTGTTGTTTGTTTTGTTTTGCCTGGTTTTGATAATGATGCTGCTTCATTAGGGAGCTAAAATTGCTTCAGTTCAGGCAAGTAAAAGGGCCTTTGGAGCTCCCAGCAGGTATCTAACATACCAACATTAGCCTAGGCAGCTTTGAAAATTGTACAATAAATAAAGTAAGCTCAGATTCTCAAAGGCTTTGAGATCACTGAGAACTACAAGCCCCAGAAAAACATCAGGTACCTGTGCACTTTCCTAGGTCTAGCTAAGAAATGTGTCTGAAACTGTGGACTTTAGCAGCCAAAATGTCATTTTCCATGATGCAAACATGTTGGGAGAAAAGGGAGAGAGTAGCAATGCAACACCCTGCTGTGATTTAGCTTCAAAGATTTTGAGGTTATTTTCATACCAACCTGCAGACTCATGACATGTTTCTGTGTTTCTCCTTTCTTTTCAGTATGCATTTACTGTTTTTCTGAGATATATGTGACTGCCCTGTAATTTCACATATTTTATGGGTCTTTTCAGGATTAAAAAGAAAATCTGCATCAGCCCTTTCTCCCAGATCAGGAGAACTACTTTGTGAGTCACACGGAGAGCTGGGACAGCAGTAAACATAAAGGTAAGTTTTAGCTGGGTACACTGGCACATGCACTGGGACATGTGTCTCTGCTTGACTCCATTTACCTGTCCCTCATTAACAGCACTTGATTCCAACTTGCAATTCTACTGAATATTCTGCTGAAGGCTAGAAATCTCACAGGAAGTGTATTTATGTGAGTTTTAAAAAAATGGCCAGGTTGGCTGAAGAGAAACCTCTGATTACCTCTGAGATTACCTCTGAGCAGAAATTCAAGGACTGACAGCATCAGAGACCTACAACCTTATTAGACTCATGAGCCTAATAACGTCTCCTGAGCCAGAATGCCAAATTCCCTTCCTCATGAAGGAGGGAATTGCACTTGGTGGCTGAACAGCAGCCTTGGAGGACAGAGGCAAAAGGCTGTAACACCTTCTTAAATCTGTATCTCACAGACTGTAGCAAACATGAAGATTTTTAGTGGATGCAGTCCTGGTAGCTACCTGTCTCCACCAGGAGAGGTGCAGAGGGTGGCAGAAGCATAAAGTGAGTTCTACAGAGGATTAACCACTTCTCTGGAAAAGAGATGATGGGGTTAAAAAACACAGCAGACAAATTTCCAGGTGGAAAATTAATGGAAGGCTTTTAAACCAAAGGAGCACCTGGAAATATCAGAGTTGCAGATTGCTGGATACTTGGAATGTATTCCCTGAAAATATTACATTCTTGCTTTGCTTACCCTTATGTTCTTTTCCAGTTACTTCTAAGATGTGCTTGGTCCCCACACTGGCTCCCACAGCTCCTTGGTGTGGTCACTGTCACATCCTGCAGTGAGCTGGGGGCATGGGAAGACAGCCTTACAGTGGACAAAGAGCAGCTGCCTGGTCCCCTATGTTTCTTGGCAGAAGCTTTGTCATTCCTGTTTGCTGTCATCCCAGTTTACTGTCACCCATAATCAGGGATACAGTATTCATTGTCATACTGTAATCAGGGATAAAATATGTAAGGATAGAGATCTCCTTGTTGTTTCTAGTCACTGAATCATAATCAGCGTTCAGAAATTGCTCACACTTTTTTTTCCACCCTAATGTGGCTTTTTATAGCATATTCCATACAACTGATGTAAATCAATGCACGTTCTGCTTGTGTATGGATCCTTGAATGCCAGGCAAACCCTCAGATGTCCAACTTATCCACCTCCTGCCAGTGGCAAGGCACTTTATCAACCCACTACCATGGGAGAAATCAGCAGGCACTTGGAACATTTTCAAGCTCTTCATTCAAGCATGCTTCCCATGGCTGAGACGCCTCGGTCGCTTCCCTTGCCTCTTCGGTAGCAAAGCTTCATTGCTTGTTTTCAGATCAGCCCAGCTTGTTTTGAAAAGCCTGACCCTACATTTCCCCCACCAGCTAGAGGCAATGTCCCCTGCTAGGACAGGTTGTCACATATCCAAGATCTTGAATGTCTGTTCTTGTTCTTGCCCTTTTTTTCCTACTTTTCCCTGTTTTTCCTTGATTTAAACTCAAAGAAAAACCTCAGGGAGAGTTTATGAAGGAAAAAAATTCTACTGTTTTTGGGGGGTGATTGGTTTTTCTTCATGTTTTCATATTATAGTTTTGAAAAAGGGAACAACACACACAGTTTAAAAATTACTCTTTCCTCAGTATAACTTTGTTTCCAGAGCCATCAAAGGATCCTTAGAGTAAACAAGGTATGTGTGTGTGGGTATTATTCTATATTTTTCATCTTCTGTCGGGTAAAACTGCATGTGCCTTTGAAGGATAAAGTTAAATATTTACCCTAGGTCAACCATCCCTGTCTGTAGAGTTTATATTTTGTTGGAGTTTGGGCAAGCAAGTGGTATTTACAAAATTCTTTGCCTGCCTCTGCTATTAGAAAATGCATTTACAGACGATGAATTTTTTCCTACTCAGAATATTTTTGATCAGGTGTGAGCACTTACCCAGCCTGGAGAAATGCTGAATCAACATGTGACACTGTGGTAGGATTGTGTTTAGGACTGCGTTATCTCAGTTGCTGGCCAGGAACCTAAATGAAGCAGGACCAGAGCAATATTCTATGGTTCTGTCATCACAGGAGGCCAGGGGGGTTCTTTCTGTGGTTTCAGATGTCTTGAAATCTGGCTTGTTCTGGTAAATCCAGGTACCTATGCATGGGTGGCTGGTCCTGCATCCAGCTTGCAATGAGGTGAGCAGGCCAGAGGCATTGGGAAGAGCCGAGGAACACATCTCATGTTCCTCCCAGATGCAGGCAGAGAGGATTCCTGCAACGGGGCTGGAGTCGGTCCAAATTGCTTGGCATCCCAGGCCCAACAAAATCTTCTTGCCAAACTAAAGTCTGCATACCAAGAAAGTGCTCTAGGCCTTCCTGCCCCAGCTCATGTGCTGTGGCTCTTCTGAGGACTTCATTTTGCTCAGTAGAAAACAAGATCTCTCCCATGTGCTCTTCCTGAATCCTCCTCAGAAAAAGGCCACATTGTAATATAGCCCCTTAGGACACTGCAGGCTGCCCAGCACATCTCCTTTGGGAAGTTTGGGAGCACCTTTATTCAGGCTTCTCTTGAAAACCACGGCTATAAAATACAACCCCTTCCTGCCCTCTTCCCTTTCATCTTGTTCCCTCCTCCCCACCATGCCTTTGAGGCATCAGTCTTCAAACTACTTCAAATCAAAGCAGTTGCAGGATATGACTGATGGATGACTTATCTGGAATCCTGCTGATGTTTCTCTTGGGTCTCCCAAGAACAGGGAGCAAACAGCAGCCAGACCCAAGGAAAAAGCTGCAGACGACCTTGCCAGTCTTAGGAAGAGGGAAATAGCAGCAGGAAGATGGGGAAAGCGGAGGTGGCACAACGAGTGTTCTCTGCACTCCTGCTGCTATGCAGGTTTGTAGAAAATGTGGCCTGAGGGCTACTCTAACCTGTGCCAGCTGCTGAGACTTGTGTGTATCAGGCATGAGACTCGGGGAGCTGCAAACAGCTCTTTGAAGGCCTTCCTCTCCTCCCCTAGCAAAGAAATTAAAATCTAATTTCTTCCAGTCTTTGTGCTGACCTTTTGCAGGTGTGAAAAACAATCACCTCTGTTTCCTAGGGGCATTAGAATCCTACATTTTCAGTGTGTTATTATAAGCATCCATCTGCACTGATGTGCAGATGAAACATAGAAGAGAAGGACCTGGTTCTCTTACAGCCATTAAGATTTTTTCATTCCTTCCACTGAGGCCAGCATTGCAAATACCTATCATCAAAAACTGGTATCAAATTGAATTTGACTCGAAAACAGCATGACATGTTCCTTCTGGGCCAGTGGTGAAAACTATATTGGCTGTTTTTTCACTGAAAGCAAAAGGATTAAAAAAAAAATATTTAAAATTAACTGGATTTTTTTTCTCGTTGTTTTGTTGTTGCTGTTGCCTGTTCATGACCCCTCTGCTGATTTCTGGAGGAAGCACTCTAACCCTATGCAGATGAAAGCCATTTAAGCCAAAAAAAGAATCTTCAAGTTCCAATAGGGAAAGTCAAAATCCCTAATTTAGAAGCACCAGCAGGGTGGACATTGGAAACATGCAGATTCACTCACTGGAAAGCTCCCAAGATCTACAAGCGCTGAAATGAAAACATGACACAATGGATCAGTCAACAATTACTACTGAATAAGCCAGCGGGCTTCAGGGTTAATCACTGCAGCCATCCATGAACTCTCACAGGGTGGAAAACCAGTTAGCTTTGCCTACAACATCTTTGGGATGATGTCCATTTGTATGGTGGGAGGTTCATGTGGTCTGTTGTCTTCTCATAGGAAAAAGCATTGTCATCTGGAGATATGTCAAGAGAGGAAGGATAACTGTTTGGATCAAACATTCAAGAGAGGAAAAAAAGGAAGGGGAAATGAGGGGGAATTCTAATGGTGTCATTGATGAGGAAGCTTAACACCAGCATCCCTGTGTCAAAGTGTTGTTCTGGAAGGGTTGGCTATCACCAAACAGCCTCAGCACGGGTTCAAGAACTTTCAGTAGGATCTACAGTTCTGGAGGTGTGCTCACTGCTCTGAGCAAGGTCAGTCCCACAAGGACATGGGGGGATACTCCAAGAGAAGAGGAGTCCACCGTCAAATGGTGGAAAAGGTTCTGTGTTGGTTCTTGCACTGGTCTCATACATGTGCTGCTATCAATGAGTTTTCTGATTTAATACATTCTTCCTGTTCACACTTTCCTGAATTTCTCCCCTTGCTTTCAGTTTGCACAAGGGAACAGCATTTGTTGTTTGGTTTTAGAATATTTTCTCAACTGAAACAAGGAATAGATTTCCATATTTTTATATTTATTTTATAATTTTCTGTTGTCATTTATTTTCTGCTTTTCTCTTTCCCTTTTCATGGATAAATTGAAAGAAAAAAGGTGAGATCAGGAGAGAATGGCAGGGAAAAATACAAGGAAAAAATGAAGTGTGACATTTTCACAAATAATTTTCTGAAAATATTAATTAAAAACCATTTTAGAAATGCTTCTGATGGAGAAAGAAACAATTACATCAGACAGTAGCTTGTTTATTATTCACAAACCTATTTGCAGAAAAAAAAAATCAAACCTGATTTTAAAAGATCTACATTGTTTTTTGTCCCTTTTGAGGTTTGTGGAACTATATGCATTTAAAAGTGTTTGCAGACACTTGTTTCCCTGTTTAGTCTCTGTTTCCTATATCTGTTGATTTGATGGGACATTGATTCACAGACTTACACAAACCAAGTGTTACTCAAAGGGAAAGTTACCAGGGAAAAAAATACAAAATCAATAACAACTTGCTGGTATCGTGAGTCTAATTTCAGTGCAAGAGTGAATCAAGAATTTTCATCAAGATCTAAAGTGGATGGTGGTGTACACAACTGCTTGTCAGTGGTGTTGTTACCTATTTACACACAGACAATTCCCAGGAGCTCCAGCCACGCTATAGTAGCGATCTTCAGGTCTATCCATAAGACTGGAAAACAGAAAAGTCTTATTAAATCGGAATTATTGTTGCATCATACCCTGTCAGTCTCCTTAATTAGTGCAGTCTACCCGAAAAGCAGATGTGTGGCTGGCTGTTTTCACAGCGTGTTTTCTGCTAGGCTGTGCTTTGCTGATGTCAAGGGAATGAGCTGAAATGGAGCCCTTGACAGAGTCCAAACACCAGCTGGAGCTCCTGGAAGTGCCCTTGTGAGCAAACATGACACCAGTGCACCCACGAGGCTCTTGTGCGTTTGAAAGTCCCAAGTGCCTTTTATCAGCCCCATGTATCATCACAGACATCGTCTGCTCCTCAGACAACCAGCTTGTGTGGTGAGACATGGGTTTCCTCAAGGAAGGGTGCTCAGAGTCCCTGTGTCCATGTCACCCTGCCCTGGATGAAGCCAGGGACCTGCTGAATGGCTTTGACTGTGTAGACAGGGGACACAGACACAACCTGTCCTGGTGCAGAGGATGGCTCCTGCCTCCACCAAAGGTTCCTGGAGAGGAGAGGGGGACACTGAGGGCACAAGTGAACCCCACTGATGGGGACAATGTGTGAGTTGTGAAGACATTGAGGGGGACCTGTGTGAGCTGCAGGGTCACTGAGGGGGCATGTGTGAACTATGGGGACACTGCGGGGTGTGTACGAACCATGCTGATACTGAGGAGGGACAATGAGGGGACACGTGTGAGCCACGGGGACATGGATTCGAACAGAGGGGACACGTGTAAGCCCTGGGACACTGAGAGGATGTGATTGAGGGGACACCTGTGAATTATGGGGATACTACAGCGGTGTGTACGATCAACAGGGAAACTGAGGGGGAAAATGGAGGACAAGTGTGACCCACAGGACGCTGTGGAGACACTTGTTAGCTCCGTGACACCGATGGGGATATGTGCAAACCGTAGGGAGACACGCGTGATCGCTGGGGCACCGCGGGGACACTGAGGGGGCCTCCGGGGCCCGGAGGGGCCTCACGGCGGCGGGCCGGGCGCGGGGGGGCGGCGCGGGGCCTGAGGCGACCGTGGCGCGGAGCCAGCCCGCGCCGGGCAGGGCCGGGGGCGCCGCGCTCCCTCCCCCGGGCGGGGCCCGCGCCGCTCCCGGGCCTGGGCGGGGCGGCACCGCCGCTCAGTCCGAGCCTGGAGCGCCGCACGGTAGCGGCACACGAGGAGCCGCTGTTCGGCGCAGCATGGAGGAGGCAGCGGCGGCGGGTGAGGGCAAGGCGGGCCACGGCCGGAACGGCCATGCCGAGGGCCCGGCGGCGGAGCAGCGGCGGGGCGGCGCGGCCCGGCTGCGGGGCTGCCGCGGGTTCCTGCGGCGGAACGCGCTGGTGCTGCTGACGGTGTCGGGGGTGGTGGCCGGCGTGGCGCTGGGGGCCGCCGTGCGCGGCGCGGCGCTGGGCCCGGCACAGGTCTCCTACCTGGCCTTCCCCGGGGAGCTGCTGCTGCGGATGCTGCGCATGGTGATCCTGCCGCTCGTGGTCTGCAGCCTGGTGTCGGGCGCCGCCAGCCTGGACACCCGCTCGCTCGGCCGCCTGGGTGGCATCGCGCTCGCCTATTTCCTGGGCACCACGCTGCTCGCCTCCGGCCTCGCCGTGGCCCTCGGCTTCATCATTCGCCCCGGCGCCGGTGCCTCGGCGCTCAACACCCAGCTGGGGCTGCCGGGCGAGCTGCCCAAGAGCAAGGAGACGGTGGATTCCTTCCTCGACCTCATCAGGTGAGGCCGCCCCGCTCCCCTCCTTCCCCCGCCCTCCCGCCGCCGGAGGATGATGACAGACCCGGCAGTGTTGCACGCTGCAGCCGAGGAGCCCTCCTCCTCCTCCTCCTTCTCAACCTCCTTCATCTCATCCTCCTGCATCTTCTCATCTTTCTGCACCTTCCCCTCATTTTTCTCCTTCTCCTCAACATCCTTCTTTATCTCCTTCATTTTACCATCCTCCTCATCCTGATCCTGGCTGCTCCAGAAACACGGCTCTCTCTCTGCCCAAGTACCCGCAGCCCGTTCAGGTGTAGGGCTTGGTGCTCTGCTTCTCCCCGCTTTGTTTTTAATTTTGCCTGGGTGGCTGCAAGGATGAGTCGAGGCTTGCTCAGAGTTCTGGGTGCCTGGGCCCGTTTTTGGTTCTGCCTGGAGGGAGAGCGGCTCCTGGGTGCCGGCTGCAGGGCAGGCTTTCCCTGGCACCTTCCCCTGCCCTGCTGCCTGTTGTTGCCTGTCTCCTGCAGGCAGGGCAGGGCTGGGCAGCTCTTCTCATCCCTCACACAAACTTTTTTCTTTAGTTCTCCAACACTTCACCCAGTCTCCTCACCCAAATGCCTGCCTGTCTCTTAGAGTGCTCTCCCATACATGTGGGAATGGAAACGCAGCCCTGTAATTCCGTGGAGAACATACCTTAAACTCAGTCCAGTGTAAGGATGCTCTGTAGGTTCATGAGCTTCCCTTCTTACCTCTGCATCTTTCAAGGACAAGACTTTCCCAAATCTGTCATTTGGGAAATGTCATTCCCCAAATCTGTCTGGAAACAAGGCTTCAGCTTCTAATCAGATGATGGTGTTTTAGCGTATCTTTACTCCTCCTTGCAAAGTTGCAAACTTCACCTTTTTTGTTTTTATCCAAGCCCATGTCTTGTTGAGATCTGTCTGGCTTTTAAAATAATATAGGAGCACACAGACAAACGAGGCAGGCATCCAGATGGTGCTTTGAGTATTGGGCTTCCAGCTGCATTTCCTTGTGCTTTGCACCCAGGTACAAACACAAGAATAAGGGAGGTGACCTGTGTGTGTCACAGCAAAGTGGCTGGAAAGTTGAGCTTACTGGATATCCTGGTAATTACAAAACTGGCTGGGTGGTTTTTTTATTATTTTGATTGTTTGCTTTACGTTTATGAGTCCAGTTTTTCAGCTGAGAAATGTTTTTACTCTGTCTGGACAAGTGAATGTGTCAATAAAGATAAAACGATTTTCTGAAAAAAAAAAAAAAAAAAGCCAACACCAAACCCAGACCTGTATTTACAAATTCAGGTTAATGTCCTTTTCTCCCCCTGAGACAAGTATGTTCCCTTTGGATAGAAAGTAAGTCTGGTTTGTTCCATTGGCAGACATGTACTCAGTGTCCTCAGCTCACCTCTCTCTTAAGAACCAACAATTAAGGACCTTTCTTAAGGACCAGCAGTTCCTGACAGCGTGTTAAGAAGGAATAGCAGAACAACAGGACTAGGTAGTCTGGCTGTGGTGGTGGTATGTTGTTGAATGGAGGGGAGGGAGGTGAAGGAAAATTGCCAAAAAAAAAAGGAGCGGGCACACCTGGGAGCGTTGGGAAGATGCCTGCAGTGGTGGCTGCCCCAGTGCATCCTGATGTGGCTGCTGTAGCTGGTGTCACATCCCTGTGTCACCTGGCAGCATGGAGTAGGGTGGAGCTGAGGAACAGGCCAGGGATGTTGCAGTGAGCCTCAGGCTGTGGGTAATATCTGAAGTTCAGAGGAGACAGCTATTTCTTGGTCTGGTCTGTAAGTGCAGGTGTGGAGTTCATCTTCAAAGGGGTTGTGATGGTGATGGGATTGAGCCCCTAATTGCAAAGTAGAGCTCATAATGATGAGACTTGGGTAAAGCATGGTGGGTTGCAGAGGAGTTTCCTTCTTGGAGATGAGGGGACAGGAACTTTCCCCCAGTGCATGTATGGGGGGCTGTGAATACAGCTTTTTATTGGAACCCCAGGGTAAGGCTGTTGTAGCCATACTGTTGGGCTGTCAAGTTGTTACAGCAGTGACAGTGAAATCCAGTCCAGAAAAGTTGTCTTTGGACACAGCCATCACTAAAACTTTCAGTCTTAGCACAAATCCCTGACAGACTGAGGGATGGAGAGAGTATGTGATTTTCAGGAAATAAAATCTTTTTCTCTGCAGTGTAATGTTATTCTTTTAACTGTTCTTGAAAACCTGGGTGTTTTGGTTTGAGCGCTGAACTTGGTCCCTGCTGTGATGAAACTTAGTAAACTCATCTTGAGATAACAAAGCTTGATTCTATAGGGCCTGGAGGGTCAAAATGATTGCTTTTTGTGTGGGTGGGTCTTGCAGCATCCTCCTCTTTGCTTCTCCTTTTATCTCATTTGGCCATGAAACTTTCTATTAGATGCAAGAAAAATGTTTTCACTGTGGCACAAGCCTGACTGTGACCTTCAAGGCTTCTATGCTGCTTGGTTTGAGAGGAGAGGTAAAAATGAGTTGCAAATGGGTAAACTGAGTCCCCCATCAGCACTGAAAACCAACGTAAAGCATGACCCAAGGAAGAAACAGCAAAGAGGAAATCACAGTTATGTGTCACTATTTGGTTCTGCAAATCACTTCTGCCTTTGGGAAGTCTTTCAGGTAATGATTCAAGATGTTGCTTTTCATTGTTGCAATGAAATCTGGAGGCCAGCTTGGTTTTCCTTTTCAAAGTCTAAACCTTCCCCACAAACATGCATCTAGGCATGGAGAAGCGACCTCTGGAAAAAAGATTTGTCTTGGGCTTTGGTATCAAATGAAAGATGACTCACTGGTGATCCCAAAGGCTGTGTCTGTTTTGTTTTGTCCATTGACCATAACCTCCAGGTCTGATTTGTCTGGCTGGAAATGCTGGAGCACCCTTCTGGCAAGTGCTAGAGGCAAGCAAGCCTTGAGCATGTCTAGTCAGGGCTTAGGCACACTGTCCTCTGCCCGAGGACATGGGGTGGGGACAGCAGAGCTGTCATAAGGTGTTTTTGTGCCCCCAAGCAGGTCTGTCATGTGGGCAGCTCCTTGGAGCTTCCTAAAGATGAGCATGGCCAAAGGCAGTGATCATGGGAGGGGATCCAGCAAGAGTTCACAGCTACTTCCACAAGGCTGATGGCTTTGAAAAAGGCACCCAGAAAGTGGGGTGTTCCCTGAGCTCAAGGCAGGATCTTAGAATTCCTTAAGTCTGTCAGCAGAAGATGAGGGGAGTGAAGGGAAATTTTAGAATTTTGGGGTTTTCCCTTACTCACTTATTTGGTGGAGCAGATAAAGCAACAGAGAATAAAGAGAGCTTGTGAGTGGTTGGCAGCTGGAGGAAGGGGCTGGCTGGGATGTGGTGGGCTCTGGGGCTCAGCCCCCATCTGAGAAGGTGACACTGTAGGGAGCCAGCTCGGCTGTGCTTGTGCTCTGCATGTAAACAGGGAGAGGGAGTCCCAAGGATGGGACTCCAGCCACCTGCTCACACAGCCCACCTGCAGCCTGTTGGAAAGCAGCTGAAACAGCAGGATCCAGTGTTTTGCAAGAATCTATTGATCTGTTAACACTTTTGATGAGCCGTTGACACATTGGAATGTTTCAATAAGGTCAGAGTTTTGTTCAACTCTGATTTGTATTTGCTGATTCAACAAGATTGAACAGTTTCACAGGAACCTATTGATCCTGTCAAAATTTCCATCAGTGGGTGATCATGGCACTTCATTTCGGTGAGGTCAATGTTTTGCTATCATTTTATACAAAGGACTTAAGTAGACACTCACTCATCAAAAAAGGAACATTTCAACAGAGTATTTTACAAATTTTTTTAGTGGAAAAAAGGATCTAAAACAGGCTTTCTTTGCCCAATTTGGGGATAAAAACATGTTTTGCAACTGTGAAATTGGCTTTGGGGAAGTGAATTCTGTTTTTAATCCAACTCTAGCTGTAAGAATCTGGAAAGGGAAGGAGGTAATCCCTTTTTTTAATAGGAGGAGTACACAGAGGTCCACACGTCTGCCCCAGGCTGTAAGGTCAGGGTTTCCCAGTTTGCCAGGCAAGTCTGCAAAAGCTGTTTAAATTTTACTGCTTCTCAATGCCCTTTCTGTCTCTCTGCCAGATGTTACCACCGAGCTGCCAAAGGGAGCACCCACAGCGAGCTCATGCCTTTGCTCCAAGTGTCTTCAGAGCCATAGGGAAGGCAGACATGAGCACAGGGAGAAGCATCTGTTGTGTTTTGCTGGCTGGGCTGCAGAGCAGGTGGCCAGAGCGGGCCACTCAGGCAGTGACCCTGTCCTGGGCACCAGTTGCTCCAGTAGCACTTGTTCCTTACAGCCTTGGTCTTCCCAGTGAGTCACCCAAAACCCGCAGCCATGAAGGCCACTCTGAAATCCCGATGTGGAAAGACAGTAAAATGTGACTGTTAGAGGAGGAGGGGGAGATGCCACCTTTGAATTCATAAATAGAATAAAAAGTGTCCAGGCAATGGTTGCAGTTACGCCAGGAGCCAGGCTGGCCTCTGGGTTTGGAGCTGATGGCTAGTTCTTAAAGTGAAGACAACTGTCTCACTTTGCTCGTGTCACTTGCTGAGTCTGGAATGAGTTCTGTAGGAAGAACTTGGTGTTTTCATTCATGTGCCTGCCATTCATTCACGCTTTAGCAGGGTTTTGTTAGTAAGTCTCTGAAGGTTTCTGTTCCTTTCATTTGTTGCCTTTTACAACTGACCCCCCCCACCCCAGTTATGTTTTATTCTGCAAGCATCAAAATTACAGACTGGACCATTAAGACAAAAAAAGTGTCAAATATCTGCTATAGGTAAACACATTTTCAAGTTTCTCTGTGTTAAAAGAAATGCACACACTCACAAATATGAGTATGTACAGGGCATGTGTTGTGCATCCACATATCAAAAAGCAGATGAGAAAAATTGCTGTGTGATATTGAATAAAAATCTTGGGACAGAAAAAAAACCAGAGGTACCAGAGGAATTCAAACTGGTATTTTGCCACAGATGGCAATAAAGTTGCTGCAAGTGGACTCACACCATTGAAAAAAACCCTGAAAACTGGAGATAACCAACACAGAGTATTTATTTTTTGTAGACTTCCTCAAAAAAGTATCTTTTTCAACAGCAAGGTTTTTGGCCTCAGAAGTGGAACCTTTTTGTAAGAAGCAATGTGAGAGGAATGCATAGTATTTTAGGGTTTCATTCCATTTGCCTGGATTTCCCTTCATGCTTTTGCTGCCAGAGCAAAGTTGTTTGCAGAGCTCTAGCAAACGAATAATTTAGAAACAGTTGTTAATAATAATCCCTTACACATACAGTGGAGGAGTTCCTGTGTAATCCTCATCCCGCTGATGGAAAGATACAGGCCTATAAAGAAGACAGCAATTTGACCATAATATCAAAGTGGAGAAGGAGGAGAGTTACAGCCCCCCTTCTCTCCATTTGCCAGCTCCAGGTTCCCTTAGTTGTCGGCAATTCCCAAGAGTGGATGTTGCAGCTAAACAAAGATTTCTATTACAGCAGGAATACAGTGGCATCTTTTTGGGGAGTAATGGTCCATTTTTGACTGGTAGGAGCAGCTTTTTGGGAAGAAAGGTGCATTTATCCAGCTGTGCATAGGGAGATGGTGTGATGAGCACAGTATTCAAGCAAGAAATACACACTTAACACCTGCCCTTGGTGCTGCTACTTTCTTGTTCCTCTTTGAAGAGGATCTGAGGAGGGTTCATTCTCACCCTGTGTTGTGCAGTTACGTGGAGGTTTCCTGGCTCAGCCCGGCTGTCACTTCAGCCCCAGGACACAGCTGTCCCCTTTGGCAGCTGTCAGATGGGTTTCTGACACTGCTTTTTTTGGGGCTGTCTGCACAACTTGCAGTGGGTAGAGAGAGGCTTTCCTGCCTGGTGCTTGGTGAGGGGAGTGAAGCCTCTCTGTGCCACCTACCTCACTTTCATGGCACAGAGGAGCTGGGGTCTGTGCGTGCGTGCAGCGAGGTGCCGGCAGCAGCGGAGCACGTGGGGGACAGGCAGCACATCTGTCCCCCTGCCCTGCTGTGTTATTGGCCTGTCTCGTTCATGCCATATGCAGCAAGTTTTGTCTCCCTGCACATGGGGCCAAGGCTGTCTGATCCTGCACTGGAGTGCTGGGCTCCTTATCACCCAGACCCAGGGTTTGGCCAGCACCGTGTTCTTGTGATAATCCACATGTGCTTCAGAAAGACGACGGTGTTTTCTGGCACAGGTCATGGGGATGGGGCCATCAGGAACAGTCAACAATCCAGCCATACAACCAGGGTGATTTCCCTAAACTCCATGTTCACATTTGCTACAGGCTTTCAAAGCACAAAAACCTTCTAAACCTTTGGTCCTCCCAGAAAAAACAACTGGCAGACACCCAAATTTCATTTGCATGCCCAATTACCCTGTTCATCAGCTTTCCTCTTTGTTGGTTCACCCTCACAGGAGGGATGTCCACACTTCCCCACGCAGCTCCTCTGCTCATAGGGACAGAGCTCTGTGCTTCTGTGATGGGTGAGCTTCACCTTCCCAGGCGTGAGGAGCAAACCCTGCAGGCACAAGTCCATGATGGGCCCTGGCAGGTCACCAGCCAGCTTTTATCTCTCTCTAAAGCACGCAGCATCTTGCCCCTTTTTTCAGGCACTGTGGTGGTGTTCTTGCACAAATCTATCCAAAGGTAAGAACTTGTGATCTGACCCACTTGTAATTAAAGTTTAATTTGGTTCACATGCTGACTGATCTTAGGTGAGCAGTAAGTATACTGTGTGCAGACTGCATGCCTCTAAGATAAGCCATTTATTTGTAGATTGCTTTTTATGACCCGACACATTTTGTTCTTAAGCTTTGGGATTCGAAACAGAGAAGCTGTTTTGCTGTTTTTATTTTATGTGGTTTTGGTATTTTGCAGTCAGGTGTACTTAGAAGCTGGATTGAACAGAACATAAAACTCCTTATGAGCTGCTTAAGATCAAAATTTTTTACTTGGCGAATTGTCAAGTCCTGCAACTGGTGCTGGAGGGATAAAGCAAAGTGTCTAGGTTATTTTTTAGCACTATTCACACTTGAAGTAAGAACCTGCCCCTTGCCTTGCTGTAACAGGGTTTCTGGCATCACTTAACTGTGTGCTTTAAATATATGCTTGGAGATAAGTTAATGTTTAGTTACTGAGGCCCATGCCTGACATACTGTGCAAATTATGGAGGGTTTGGTTTCCTGGCCACATTTAAACATTGGAGAACCATGTTGTTTAGGCTTTAGTATTGCTTCCTTTGGTTTTGTTTTCATCAGGATGGAAAAGCTGATTTAAAGAAAAAAAAAGAAGAATTGATTTCTGGTTGATTTTCAGTCTTTTTTCATCTCTTTGCTTCTTCAAAGTCCAGTTAGTTCTTTTTTTTAAGAAAAGTAATCATCCTGCTATGAAAAGCTGAAAAGAAATATCTTTCTTTTCCCAACAGCATGAGCCCATTTGTATATGTGATATTTTACTCCTGATAAAAGCAAGTTTGCTTTTACTTTACTCAAGGTTTTTATCCACCAGAGAGTTCCAGCTGTGCAAGAGCTGATGCATGTTAGCTGTTCCATTGATCTTATTTGGCCAGTTCTTGAGTGTCTTTGCTGAGTGAGAGCTCACTCTCCTGCTTTCAGACAGACAGCTGTATTGTCAGCTTATGAAGAGAAAAAGTTGCTGTTTCTTTCATGCTTGGTGTAATGTAGACTCCAGAAGACAAATTATTCTTGCAGCAATCCTCCTAATACATTTTTAGTGCATGAGAGAGAGAAAGGCTGAGGTATTTCACAGCAGACAGGTGTTTGATGAAGTTCCATGTCCTTTCCTATTGCTGTCAAGGCTGTGGGAAAACTCCCTGTGTGGCAGGAGAACACAGCCATGCAACCAAAAGGGCCAAAGTCCTTATCTTGGCCACATTTTAATCTCCCTCTTGCTTTCAAAGATTTTACTCTGCTGCTCCTTTTCTTGCTCTGGTTTGGATTTGCATGCTCCATGCCATTCGTGGAATGACCACAGCCTGATTTAATGTTTGCCTGGGTAACTCTGGCAAAAATGGGGGGAAGTTAGCAGGGCACAGGCTGGAGGGAGCTGCAGCTTCCTGCAGCACAAAGAGCAAAGGATGGGGAGCAGCTATCCAAATGTTTTTTACCACAATTAACTGGCTCTGGGTAAGGTCTGCTTCCTTACCATAAGAGTTATAGTGCCTCTGTGATGCCTTCTACTGGCAGTATTTTCAGCTGACACCCATCACATTCCTGCCCTCACTAGCTGTGGTCCTGCCATGACCCCAGAGATCAGCTTTTATTCCTGTTTTCCTTTTTGACACAGAGAACCAAGAGCTGTCATTTGGCTAGAGGAACATGTGCTCTTTGCCCATAAGGGGAGAAAGGAATTAGAGCATTAAAACCAACTAAAAGACACTACAAAAGCTTGGAAGAATGCCCTGCACGGTCCAGTTCATGACTTTAATTTCCTGTGTGCAGTTACATGCTGGCTGGTCAGAAAGAGTGTACATCACTTTGCATGCTGTCCTCTCTGCATGAACCTGATGCTAGATTGGCATTTCCAGTCTGAATCCAGTGTGAAGGCACTGCTGGATTCAGATGTTCCATAGGATTTGCCTGTACTTTCCATCTGTGTTGTCTAAGTCCTTGCAGAGAAGTCTGGCCTGTGATACTGTTCTGCTCTGCCTTGGTGATCAGGGAAGCTGGCCTTGCTCTGTTGAAGGGTTAAGCCATTCTCGTAAGGGGATTTTGCTGATTGGATTGTCCTTCATGTTGATGCTGTGAGTGAAGTGTAATCACATGAGCAATGTTACAAACCTGCCTGACACTGGAGGCCATAAGCTGGTGCTGCAGATGGTGTGGCTGCAGCAGTTTCCCTAGCCACTGGGCAATGGGTGTGTAAAACCAGCATTGTGTGTGATTGCCTCTGGTGGCCCTGCTCAAAAGGTGAGCTGTGGCAGCAAGCATCTGTCTTCTCTTTCATGTGAGCCAGGGAAGATGTCATCCACACCTCTGGACACTTAGCAAGCTCCATGCTGCTGGGGAATCTTCTGTGCTACACACTTCACCAGTGCCAAAGTGCTTGCCTTTGAAAAAGGCATTCTGTTTAAGAGTATACATTGCTGCATTAATTTAGAGGTTCTCCATGACATATTTCATTTTCTTGTTTGTCTTTTACAGAAACCTGTTCCCTGCAAATCTTGTTGCTGCTGCTTTTGAAACGGTAAGATCTGTGTGGACTTTGGGCATGAGCCACAGTGCATAAGCTCTTTTATTGGAAGAGGACTAGAAAGATGGTGTAGAAAATACCAAAGTTAATTTACTTACAGAAGGTAGGGTTTTTAAAAGCACATGATATAGTCAGACATACAACTTCTCTGGCAAATTATTGAAAAATATTCCTCAAACAAAAGCATATTCAACGCCCATCTTTTCTACCTTCACCAACAATATTTTTTAAACTTTGAGTGCCATGTTGGGCAGTAGTGGCAATCCTGCTTTGTGCCAGGCTGCTTACCATGTTGCAGGAGCTAGCTGGGAATCCTTTGGCTCTGTAGTTTAGAGCTGGGCTCAGAACAGACAAGGCTGAAGACCTTTAGGCTGCCATGTGTGTAAGCATTACCTGTTGCCTGATGGTTTTATTCAGTAGTTTCCATTGTATCCCTTGCTGGATTAATTACTCAGCCTGGTTTCTCTTCCAACAGAGACAGTATGGTGGGATGATAACTGGCACCAGAACGTAGTGTGGTTTAAACTGGTGGATTGGACCTGTAGGGCTCCAAAAAGATTTTGATTTAGTTCTCAATGCTAATTTTACATGTCAGGATATAGAGTGTTGAGAATATTGTCATGGGGCAGAGTCATTCCTTATGATACAGAAGCAGGATAATAGCTTTTGCCTTCATGGTGGGTTTGCTTTTGTATCAAAACCAGGGGCAAACTCTTGAAATCAAGTTCCATTTTGCATGAATATATATAGTACAGTACAAGTCAATATTCCATGAGTAAAACCAGTACAAAAACAACACTATGAAAAGGATATTTTGTGATGCCTCTAGTGTCAGGGATATATGAATTCAGGGATGAAATAAAGCAGTCCTCTTTTCCTCTGTGCTGCTGTTGTCACAGGGAATTGACAAGGACAGAAGCTTTTCCTTCCCTCCTTTTATATTGAAAAAAAACGAGCCCAGAGAAGTGCCTTGCTTTTGTGAGATGTCTAGTTTGTTTATCAAAGTAAATTGTTGCCCTAGATTTTAGATATTTTGCTGACAATTTTAATGCCTGCCTCACCATTTTTGTTTGGTTGTGTTTTATTTCTTACCCGCAGTATGCGACAGACTATCAGATGGTGCTCAGGAACACAACCTCTGGAAATGTCACATGGGAAAAGGTAAGGTAATTTCTTAGGTTTTTAAACAAATTGTTGTCAGTAGTATTTGACTACTTCACAGCCTTTAATACTTTCCAGTAGCCTTGAGAAAGAAACAAGTATTTTTATTTGCCTGGAACTGAGACACGCACAAGCTGTGTGAGTACCCACAGCTACAACAGAAAGCTGTGGTCGAGAGGAGAGTTGAGCTCAACTGATATGACTCTTGATACTTTATTTTTTCAGGCCATGCTTTCTTAGACCTGGTCTCACTTGATCTAAATTTTAGACAGTCTACCTAATGTTTCCAAATAACTTTCTGTAGACTTGGAACTAAATAGCAATCAGGCTGGCTGAGTATATCCCTTAAACCTTACTCTTCATGAAGAGTTTGGAGAGAATGAGGTTTTTTCCCTCTACCCAAGGCTCTTTCAAAAAAAAAAGAGATTTGTTAGGTTGAGAATTTTTTCTCATTGCTGAAATTTTGAAGCAGTAGCAAGTGGTCTGAAGGAGTAAAATTACAGACAGAACATTACAAATAGGCTACTGTTGCAATGGTGTCAAAAAGGGAACTGGTGTGTAGGTGTAGATAAAGTAGAGAGTGGTATCTTTCATATGTAGATGGTAGGACTTCCAGAGATGCTCTCTCTCCCACTAAGTGTCATTTCTCCTGCAGACAGGGCATCAAACGTGTTTATTGTTGGCCAGAGCCAACATGTTGCAGGCCCAGCAGTAATTACTGTTGTCTTACAAGGAGCATGCTGTGAAACAGACCCAGGCTCCCAGCCTGCAAGGTGTCACCCTACTCCAAATAAAGTGTCTCATGTGCTGCCATGGGATTTTTGGGAGACTGGTCTGAGAAATTACTTTCAAGGTGATTGTCTCTTCCTCAGGCTCATTCTGGCTGTCTGAGCTCAGTATTAGATGTTGGGTTACTACGTTTTTAATATGATTTGAATTCCCCTAGGGCAAGGGACTTGTAATGTTTGCATTTGTTATGGAAGGGCTCAGCTGGGGTTTGCCCACCAGTTTGTAAAAAGAAAAAAAACCAGTTTATGCTCACCCAGAGGGACTCTGGAGCCTATCCCTGAGCCCAGGAAGCATTGGCTTCATTACCTTCTCCTCCCCATGCATGGTGTGTGAGCAGGTGATGCAGAACACTGTTTCTGAACTCTGCTTCCAGCCCTGACCTGAACTTTCACCAGCTCTGGAGGCAGGGTGAAGAGTGACTGGGATGACACATGAGCTGAGCAGGGGCAGAGCTGTGCCTTGCCCGAGAGCCTGGCACCACAGGGTGAGCAGCTCCAAGGGAAGGATGGCAGTAGCCCGGATCCGAGGGCACTGTGGAATCCCAAAAGGGCACTTTCTCTGCGTGCCCTCGGGCAGGGCACACCCCTGCAGCTTTGTGCTGCTGAGACGAGTTCGGTATGAGAGGCTGTAGCAGCTTGCACTTAGATCTGTGTGTTTGTAGCAGAGTGCTGAGTTATTTGACATTTAAGCAAGGGTAAGTGAAATGGGAATGAAGTCTTTTATTTATCTTCACTGTCAGGTTTGATACGGGCTGTGTAGCAACCAAGCATGGATTGAGGCTAACCATACCCATTGAAAATGGTGCTGCTGTCAAGTACTTTTTAAATGCTTGTTCATCACCATCACTTTTCCTTAAGAGATAAGAATGCATCTTTTGGCCCTTTAAAATGCAACATTACTTTTTTCATTTTTCCTCTCTCTTTTTCCTGCTTATCAGTCTTTTGTTTGATGTAACATCAAAAAAAATATTCTGAATATGCCACTGGTGTCTGTTTTTGCCAACAGTTGTGATGATGTAAAGGTTATTTTTGCTATTACTTTTCCAAAACCTTTTTTAAGTTGTTGGAGCAAAACCAGACTGAACTTCTTTAATTCCAGAAGACGCCCTACTGTCTCCAGGGAAGAACAGACCAAATAAAAAGAGAGCATCATCTCGGTTTTGTTAGCTCAGTTTTAGTACTGGTCTGACCATATTATTTATGGATAGATGAGGATTAAGTTTGGAAAGAAGAATATGATTTTTGGATATCATAGTGACAGAAGTTTGGTTCCAGAGGAATAAGATCATACTCCTGTCTACTTTTTTCTTTCATCAGCAGAGTATTTGAGTGAAGAGGAGAAACATTTTCCTTCAACTTTCCATCTGAATAGTGTAGAGCAAAAATTTCCATTGATTGTATTTCCCCCCCACTGGTTATTAGGCTCTGTCTTCTCTCACTGAAGAAGTGAATAGTGGGACACGTACTTGTTTGCTCAGCCATGTCCTTTTGTGTTGTTTCACATGCTCACCTCATGTTTACCCAGCTTTTATGGCTACATCCTCTCTGTCTCATTGGCAGCAAGACTTCCTAGGGCACAGACTATCTCACTTTACCATCTGCAGCACAGGGAGCCTGGGGGGGCTCAGTTCCTCTTTGGACAGGAGTAAAAATACACAAACCAGTGGTTGCTCTTCTTCCTCACATCACATGGCTGCATTTTCTTTTCAGCCACCTACTACTGGGACTGTTCAATGTCAGCAGTTGTTTCCTTGATAAGCATTTTGTTTCAAGAGCTAAAAAACAATGGGATCTTCAGAGAGATTCAAGGACCAGAAGAGCTCCATGAATCTTCCTAAGAGAATGCATAATTTCAGGCAAACAATAACGTGTCCCACAGTTTGTCCAGGAACAAAGTTCTCATTAAAGCTGTTTTTGTTTGGTGTCCACAATGCTGCTTGGTTTGGCTGCCCCTTTGGGGTGATGCACTCTTGTGTGAGAGTACAAAAAGGCTGTTCAGCATCTGCCAGTTTTAGAGGCTGGGATTGTGAGGATCTTCCGCTGAAGATTTTCTGCTGGACTCATTCCATATGGTGTCACAACGAGGTGGAATTCCCTGAATGCTGCAGATCGTGCCCTGGGTTTGCAGGGAGGAATTTCTTGCAATAAGTTACTACTCTAGGCAAGTGGTGCATCTTCTGCTTACATCTGCAGTGTTGGGAGGTGATGGTGAGTGCTGTGTGTTGTAAAGAAATCAGTGAGAGAGAGACAAGAGGAGAGCAAGGCCTGAAAGTGGGGACAGGATGGCAGCAAATAGAGGGAGACAGCTCACAAGCTTTTGGCAGTGGCACACACAGTCATCTTCTGGTCACCAAGAGGTCAGGGGGCCCCCAGATCACAAAACCTAGGCTTGAAGTGCTGGTGAGTGTGAGCACTTGGAGAACAGCAGCAGCAGTTACCACAGTGCTGGGAGCAAGGTGGACAGAGACCTCTCCAAGGGTGAAAGAAGACCATGCACTGTCATTCTGGAGAGTACAGAGGTTCTCTCCCAGCAACATCCAGGTCAGAATGCTGGGCTCTTAAAGCATTCAAACACTGAATTTCTGTTTCATGGCAAAGTTTTATACATTTTTTTTTTTCAGAATGGGAACCAAAACAAGAGAGTATTCACTGTTTTTAGGACTTCTTTTGAGGAATGGTTTGGGCCCATTATAGTAAAATTCTGTTCCAGCTGAACTTTTCCTATTACTCCTGTATCAAACGAACTCAGTATAAAATGATTTGTATTATAAAATAACATCCCATATACACAGATGATTTGTTTAATTAATAAGAGGGGGTCATTTGTTTTGTCTTAACTTTTCTAGCCACAGAAGAGTTTAGAGCTTTCAGTCAGAAAAACCAGAATATAGCCAAAACCATCCAGGCAGAAAAGTGTTAGTGTGTGTGACAGCATGTTTCCTCAGACATCTCTGGAGATACACTGTTCCTCATGCTTAATATCTGTCTATGTTCTCAGTTCTTTCAATCAGGAATCAAATAAATAGTGGCAGCTTAGCCCTGCACAAGCAACTACCATAAAAATTGCAGATTTGATATCTATTTTTTTTACCTAGTGAATAAAAAAAGCCAGCACCTTCACTGTTTGTAAACACTTCTCTTAACAGCAGCTTAATCATCCTGCTTTTGTGTATAATTTACATTTTATCCCTTTCCCTGCAGGACTTTGTTTCCACCTGCCATTGAGAGACAGTCCAGTTCAGCAGTGTACTTCCAGAAAAAACATCAATCTTAAGCAGGCTGGTTTTATCAGATTTAGGAGATCAGTATCCTGAGTTCTTTAGTCAATACTCATTTCAAACTTGTAGCTCAGAATGTATTTTTCTTTCCTAGTGTTGAGCTAGTGTCCACTTAAACTAGCCAAAAGGCCAAAACTTGTACACAGACTTCATCTGTCACAGAAATTCTTCCAAATAAAACAACAGTTTGACGTGTTTGTACTGCCAAGTTGGAGAGAAAAAAATCCCAGTTTGTCAAAACAATTATATTTTTATGTAGCCACAAGAGTACTCATTCAGCTCATATGATACTACATTGCCAAAGAGCTCTCTTTGAGAAGCAAGCCGTGAAGGACTAACAGAGCAGACCTGTGGGTAGACTAGTTTTTGTCAATAGGTGGATCCTGTTTTTATTCTCTTTTGCCAGGCAGTGACAGATTTCTGAGAAGAGGAACAGGTATCTCTCTTTCTGTTCTTTCTCTCCCACAGCTGACATGGACAGATGAAGGAGTAGGTTGCCACAGTTTGCTGCTTTTCTCTGCCTTTCTCCCCTCCTTCTGCTTCATAACAGTGGTTGTTTTCTCATGGTTTTCACCTTGATATCATCACTGCACTAAAGTCCTGAGTAAACTGGGGAGTTTTCTTGTTCAGGTCACTGAGAACACAACTATTGTATGTAAGGGCACCTGGGGAGGTAGCAGCAGGCACTTTCCTTCTCAGTGAATCCGTGCCAGCTCATAACTAGGGAGGTTTGTACCTGAACTGAATCTTGTACCAGGTCTCCTGGATTCCCTTCAACAAAAGAGGTTCTGCTTGTTGATTTCAGATCAATCAGACAGCAATAAAATGAAATTACCCTTTTGTTTGGTTTTGTCCTATTCTCACATGTAACAAGCCTTCTTTTCTTGTCTCTGCAGGTCCCTGTTGGTACTGATATCAGAGGGATGAACATCCTGGGACTGGTGCTGTTTGCTCTGGTTTTGGGAGTGGCACTTAAAAAGCTTGGCCCGGAGGGGGAAGATCTGATTCGCTTCTTTAACTCATTTAATGAGGCAACAATGGTCTTGGTTACCTGGATTATGTGGTAAGTGTGTGACTGCAGATACATCTGCACTGCAGTGTTATGCTCAGATCAGCAAACTTACATTTCATCTCTCTGTCCAGCTCTTTCCTGTGAAATCCCTCATCACAGCAAAATGAATGTTGTGATGTCACACAATGGGGTTTTTTCTCCTTGTTGTGCCCTATAATGAGACAGTCACTCATAGCTTAAGGTATCAGGCTGGAGAACTTCAAAGGGTTGCCTATAAATCCTCTCCAGGACTCCATTTTGATTATTTAGTGGAAAGAAAACTTAGTATTTCCTAATGCTGATTTTTTTTTTCTCTTGCCTATTAATAAGCAAATACATTATTTCACTTAAGTCCTTGGAGTCACTGGAGTCTGGAAAAGTTTATGGGCTGACTAGTGCTCTGATCAATCCCACAAAGCTTTTGATGCCAAAAAAAAGTCTCTTAGTTTAGTGTGCTCCAGTTCCTAACTTTCTCATTAGGCAAGAAACCAGCTTTGGAGGAGGCAGGCACCTCTAAAGAGTGGTCAGGCCACCTAAGCTGGGGTAGGAGCAGCCTCCTGGCTGGGTTTTCCATCAGGTGGGATGAACGTGGGCCTCAGAGCAATATCATGGCTGTCCTTGGTAGCTGTATGGAGTTAGGCTGCTCCTGTGAAACCAACAGTACTAATACCTCACAAACTTGAAAATATTCATGAAGATGGCTAGCAATCAAATGAACAGTGGGACATTTCTCACTCCCTTTCCAAAGCTGGTGTAAAAGCTGTAAATGTACCTAATGTATTAAATGTATAATTAAATGTATATTTAAATGTATTTCATTCTTCCTTCATTCTGCATTTTTCCTTCCTACTGTTTTCCTCTCCCTAAGAAGTAGAAGGGTTTTAACAAAACACCTGATATTACACAGGCAGATCCCTGTGTTAGTTGCTATCATAAGGGATTGAAAAATTCAGTCTCCAAGCAGCTTAAGCTTTCTGCTCTTGAGTGTAATTCCTTGGACACTGAATACTGATAAGAGGCAGTTCATGTATTCAGCTTATTACAGTGCTAGCACTTCAAGCCAATCAGTTGGTATGTAATCCTTCATTTTGTGGATTATAGGGACTACTGCTGACCCTTAACAGTGCAAGCCTTACTTGTTCTCGTTCCTTCTTTAAGGCTCTTGTGTACTCCTGGTGTTTGTTCAAAATCTGTGAAGCTGCATGTGCTTCCCAAGGGATACTTTGGAATGGTGAAATCCCACTACTGGGAGCAAAGGCAGCTTGAGCTCATATCTGGTCCTGTTCAACAGCCACTCTTGTGTTTTAGCAGCACTTGGGTCTCAACTTTCAGTTCTTTCCTCTCCAGCCTCCCTCTTCAAGGGGAGGAATTCAGTGTTCAGAGCTTGTGCAGGACCAGGGCTCAGCTGGATCTGGCTAATCAGGGGCCTCAGAAACACAGCTCAAAGGCAGAATTGCATAGGCTAAGTGGGGAATGTTCCACAGGCCTCCCTAGAGATTTGGCCAAGGGAGGACAGAGGATACTCACAGGGATCTGGGATATAGGGAGATGCTCTCTGCATGGAACAGAGGAGCTGCACAACCACTGAGGGAGAGGCAGGCCAGGAAGAAGTGAGTAAGCTGAGCAGCCTTAAGGCTTGCCCACCTTTCCAGACCTTTGCATGCTTAACCAAACCTTCTGAAGTTTGTCCTGACTCCACAAATCAGCTTCTCTGAACATGGGCTTTGGATTCTTTATTCCTGAGATGTACAGGTAAATCTTTTTTAGTCACACATTTTCCTGAGGCAGGATTTTAGGGAGCTGGGTAATCTTTTAGTATTTTTTAACCTTAGAAGAAAGGGATGAAGTGTGGACAGCATCAGCAGAGGTACTAAGATGCAAAGATCCCAGCAGAGCTTAGGAAGGAGCTGGCCCTGGGCCTGCAGTGATTCACACAATTTGTTTAGAGCTGCTGTGCTGTTGGTGCAAGGGCAGTTCAGCCTTTTCAGGGCTACTGGGACCAGAGGTGTGGCTGTAGCCTGCAGGTGGCCTTTCCCCTGGAGCAGCTCCACTTGCTCTTGACAAAGGAAAATTCAAACAAATGCTGACGTGGCATGTTTCTAGATAGGAGCCATGGATGTGTGTGTGTGCCTGGCTGTTGGCTTGAGGGAAGCTCTGGAAGCCTGATCATTTAACTTAGTCCTTTTTAGGCAAATAGCAGAGTTAATTGCTGTCTTTGGCACATGCATCAGTAGCCTTTAGCTGAGCTCTCTGGTATGTGCACAGCTTTTTCTTAACCTCCACAGAGCTGGCACGCAGTCTGTGATTTTAATGACCTGACTCTGTACTCGTGCTGGGAGTTTCTGCATGTCTAAGACCCAACTCTTTCACCCCTCTCTGTACTCCAGTGATGTGATGCTGCTCCCTTCCCCTCTCTTCCCTCCTCACTGGTGTCTTGTCCTGGTAGCTTCTGGCAGCATTGCTGCTTCCCACTCACCTTCCCTTTGGCACTCTCCTAGCTCTGTCTCTGAGGGTGTAAGTGAACAGACCTTTTAAAATTTGGCTGCTTACCATCCACCAAACAAGAGTCTTAGAAAAGCCTTACAAATTTGCCTAACCTGAGTGTGTGGTGATTAAGGAACTACCCTTCAGTAGGAGCAGGAGGTTGTTTAGGGGAATATATCTCCAGGACACAAAATGTCATGTTTTCCAAGGCTTTTTGTTTGTACTTCATGACAGTCAATATTTCATTTACACAGGTATGTACCTATTGGACATATGGTGATTAAGGAACTACCTTTCAGTAGGAGCAGCAGGTTGTTTAGGGGAATATTATCTTCAGGACACAAAATGTCATGTTTTCCAAGGCTTTTTGTTTGTACTTCATGACAGCCAGTATTTCATTTACACAGGTATGTACCTATTGGCATTATGTTCCTTGTTGGGAGCAAGATTGTGGAAATGGAAGATATTGTGCTTCTGGTGACCAGTCTGGGAAAATACATCTTTGCCTCTATCCTGGGCCACGTCATCCACGGAGGAATCATTCTGCCGCTTATTTATTTTGCAGCCACACGGCAAAATCCGTATCGTTTTCTCTTAGGACTTATCACACCACTTGCCACTGCCTTTGCCACTTGCTCCAGGTGGGTTTCTGTGCCACTTCTGGGACTATAGCTTGGTTATGTTTGTCACCATAAACTGGCTGTGTCCAGTTTTAGTTTAAGGTGTGAATATTGTTCCTGAGTTTGCAGAAAGAGTCTTCTGAGCACAGAGAGTCTCAGTGCTGTCATCAGCCTGCCACACAGCACATGCTGATTATCAGCTGTTGAGAAGAATTCCTCAAAATTTTGAGGCCATAGCATGATGCTTAGTTGGAAATATTTTGGGGAAAAAACCCCAAATTATTGTCTTTAAATGGTCCTGCCAGCTGTTCTTTAAATTTTAAGTGAAGTGAGAGTCAGTAGTGAAGACTTTGTCTTTAGAAGTTTACTTTTTAAGTTCAGAAAAACCTGGAACAAATTTAGACTAATCTTGTAGGAGCAAAGCAGATTGCTTGTTAGTGTAAAGGCATTTAACATTATTTATTTCAAAGTTCTGGCCTGATCAGCTTTTATTTGTCATAACCAAATGATTGAGTGTGTCATTCACACTTTTCTGAAGTACAAACGCCTGATCAAATGACATACTATATAAAATCATTTCAGGTTATCCCCAAAAGCAGTTGCATGTCTGTCAATGAAGCTGAAGTACTACTTATAAACTCTCTCCTTCTGCATAGTAGGAGATGGTTTATGAATAAAACCATGTAATTTATAATGCAAGAAATAAATCCAAGAGTGACGTTTTATTTTTAATTATTTTTCTGTTTGTTTGAGAACATACTAATACAGCATTAACAGAGATTGCTGTTGCATCTGTTGTGTTTATATTACCATAGATTCATACAGTGGCTTGGGTTGGAAGGAACTTTAAAGATCATCTAGTTCCAACCTCCCCTGCTGTATTTGCATCTCTTACTGCATGTTTGTAGTTTGAGACGTGTTCATTCTACAGCCATGTAATGCTGCATACTGTGTTGAGTCATGAGTTCTTGCTTCTGGGAGATTAAAGTCCTCATCAGCTATTTCTGGGTGAAAGCAGATTATTAAATACCTCTGCTCCAAACTCAACAAGGAGGGTCTCTCATTGCCATCATGCCAGAGAGGGACTTTAAAATGCCATTGTTGCCTTGACAGTCCTGCCTGCAGCATGCTAGAAACGTGAAAGCCATGAGACAGTGATGGGGCATTCGGAGCACCCTGGTGCTGTGTTTCATTTCTTCCTCTTCTGTTTCCAGCTCAGCCACACTCCCATCCATGATCAAGTGTATTGAGGAGAACAACGGAGTTGACAAGAGGATCAGCAGGTTTATCCTTCCCATTGGGGCCACTGTAAACATGGATGGAGCTGCTATTTTCCAGTGCATGGCAGCTGTGTTTATTGCTCAGCTGAATAATGTCGACCTCAACCCTGGGCAGATTTTCACAATTCTGTAAGTTGCTTGCAACCACATTCTTCTGGCCCCCAGACACATTCAAGCTGTGGTCTCTCCGTTAATACCTAACAGTTAGCATTCCACATCTCTGACCTAAAGCTTACAAACTGCTATGTAACATAATTATAGGGTGATTAAAGGATGGAGTCTTTAAACCTTTACAAGACTTGCCAGAGTCTCAATGTAATGAAAGGTGGAACCTGGGAGGGGTAATTGAATTCTGAAACAGTCTTTGAGCTGTTTAAAGCTCTTTCTCACATGAAATTCCTTTCTTTCCTTAAGCATCTCACTCCTCCATCCTTCAGTCACCATTAGGCTGGGTAATTGAGGCATTCTGTACTGCTCAGAAAGCAGCCCCTGATTCCCCCTCTGGATGTCTTAGAAAATTCTCCTGCCAGCTCCTTGGTTCCTTATGCATATGTTTTGTACTAAAGACTCTGTTCCTGCTTATCTCTGTCCTTCCTGCCATCACATTGCTGGCTTTCCTGATCAGATCTCTTGTTGTTCCCCTTCTAACTGCTTTGCTCCATTATCCCCTCCACCATCCCAGTCCTACCTCCTTCTCTAAGACTCTCTCCCTCCTCTGCCTGGAATATCCTCTGATGTCCCATATCCCATGAAGTGTCATTATCTTCATTTCTCTCCTCAAAATCCCTTAAATGAGGATGCTACAAGCAGTTCTGGATCCTCACTGTGCCCAGCAGTGCACGCACCACATGCCTCCTAGGGCTGGTTCCTGGCATTTTTTACCCTTCCTGGCCAGGTTTTATTTTATTCTTGATTGTGTTTCCCAGTGTGTTGTCTGTCTGTTTAAGGCAGGGCTGAGGCACTGGTTTTTTTTTTTTGGGTGGGTAGCCAAATTAGCTTTTCAGGTACTCTCAGTGAGTCAGGTGTGAAGACAGGCTTATTTTATTCTTGATTGTGTTTCCCAGTATGTTGTCTGTCTGTTTAAGGCAGGGCTGGGGCACTGTTTTTTTTTTTTGGGTGGGTAGCCAAATTAGCTTTTCAGGTACTCTCAGTGAGTCAGGTGTGAAGACAGGTCTGAAGATGATGCAGTGATAGCCCAAGGAGAGCTCAGTTGCAGACATCTGTGCACAAAAAGGTGTGTTGAGCACATGCACTGCAGGTTTCCAGCTCCTGGTTTAGGGTCTGTATTGGGATGCAGATGAGACACAGAGAAGGTGCTGTGCCCTGCATGGCAGAGTTTGCCCTTATACACGTGGGGTCAGGAGGTGAAAATCCCTCAGCATGCTGGAGCTGGGAATGTCAGTCAGGCAGCAGGATACAGTTCTGTTGGTTGTTTCTTATCCTGAAAAGGCAGTCCTGGTGTTGAACCCAGAGCCATCACCACAGTAACTGCTGCGGATCCCCGCTGAGCCCCTGTCCTCTGTACCCGTTCCTTTGCATCAGCAGGCAGGAAGGCGTTTGCCTGGGAAGCGAACGCTCCCTGTGTCCCATGCTGGAGCGTTTGTTTACAGTTCCCATAGCGGGGAAGCACGTGACAGAGTGCAGCAGAGGAGAGCTGGGAGTCCTCTAACCAGGCATGGGCATTGATTTGCAGCGTGACGGCCACGGCGTCCAGCGTGGGAGCGGCCGGGGTCCCTGCCGGCGGCGTCCTCACCATCGCCATCATCCTGGAGGCCATCGGGCTGCCCACCAACGACCTGTCCCTCATCCTGGCCGTGGACTGGATCGTGTGAGTACTGCAGCCCTCACCTGCCTGCTGTAGGGAGACACAGAAACATGGAATTGCAGAATGGCTAAGGCTGGAAAAAACCGTTCAGATTTTGTTAATGTAGCGCCACCCACCATGCTCACCATTAAGCCGTGTCATGGGGACACCACCCACCACTTCCCTAGGCAGTCTGTTCAAATGATTTACAACTCTTCCCATGAAAAGATTTTCATAATATCTAATCTAAATCTCCCCTGGTGCAATTTGAGGCCATTTCCTCTCATCCTGTCACTTGTTACATGGGAAAAGAGAGTGACATCCACCTCACTACAGCATCCCTGTAGCGTGTTTAGCTGGAAACATGGTCAAAGTACAGAATATAACCCAGTAGAAAATAAAACCAAGTAGGAAATAAGACCCTACAAGATGTCTGCCTGTGGGACAGGTAACTTGTGATGGGGAATGGAAAAGGTGGTGCCTTCCCATTTAAAGCAGTCAGTATGCTAAAATCCCTCTTCAGCTTTTTTATTCAGCCTTTCTAGAAATGTATTTCTTCTTGGCTTCAATTCCCATTAGAATGGTTGTTAAAAGTCCATTTAGAATGTGTTGATACTGCTGGAAATTAATTGGATACTAGAAGGGCTTGGGAGGACAAGGGAAATTGAGTCTGAGCATCACTTGTGGAAAACTTCCTTAGTCACATGTGGGAAGCAGTTTCCATCAGAAGCTCTTGTTGTCTGTTGTTTGAACTTTTTTAATAGTTTCAAGACTGGTCAAAGCACCACCACAAGTGTCATAGAGAGATGCTGTCCATTGGCAGGGCAGGGACACAGAGGGTTTGTGACACTTGTCACTGCCATGGGCACTGTCATGGCTGGAACACACTGTTGAGTGTAACAAGTTTAGTAGACAATGCTACCACCTTTCCTTTCTGTCTTTGAGGAAGGAAGTAAGAGGTCAGTATGGGCCAAGTGATCTGAATCCTGCTTAGGTAATTTGTTTCCATTTGGTGGATTATTGGGCAGTTCCTGGTTTGGACTGCACATAATGCCTCAGCATTGCCTTTTGGAAACACCAACCTCTCTGTATAGGTGGTGCATTCCCACAGCAGATGTGGAAATTAGGATACCTGAGGACACCCTTGAATTTCAGAGACTGGGGAACATGGCAGCTGTATTATCTTCCCACACAACACATGTCTGTGGAGCATATTCCTACAGCCTCCTTAGGGTCATCACACTCTTTCTTACTGTAACCTCTTGGGGATCAGCCACCTCCAGAGGACAGGAGATACAGACAAAGCACTGGCTAACCCTTTGTATCCCGTCTTCCTAAGGAAGTACAGTAGTGGCTGCATGTTCCTCACCTGTACTTGCAAGTGCTTTGAGGCAAGAGTGAAAAACTTGCCCTTCCTTTCACTGTGGGCTGCTCTCAAGCCTGTGTTGTGCTGGTTACCTTCCTTTTAAAATAGGTAGCATCCCTCCCTCTGTGGTCAACAGCGTTCTAGTCAAGGAGCTCAGGGGAAAAGGGGAAAAGAGGGAATTTGGGTTGCTCTCAAGCCTGTGTTGTGCTGGTTACCTTCCTTTTAAAATAGGTAGCATCCCTCCCTCTGTGGTCAACAGCGTTCTAGTCAAGGAGCTCAGGGGAAAAGAGGGATGAAGGAATCCTATGTCTTGCTTTAATGTCAGCTGTTTAATTACCAGAGAGGACCACAATTACAAGTTGAGCCTCTTAAAGTTAGGCTGTAGAATGACCAGCAAGTCTCAAAAGCCATATGAAAACTTTGTTCATCTTTATAACTCACAAATCTCTTCCATTACACCCTGGCACACTACTTTTGTGTTGTAGGACCAAAAATTAGGGCAGGTGCTATGGGGAACAAATGCAGAGAACACAAGTCATTCTGCCTGCCTTTGGATGCATCCCTTAAATAGGTGCTTGGATTAAGATACCAGTCAAGTTGTTAAAGAGATCTGGGTGTTCTGAGTCAATTACTGGATAAACCTGAAGTAAGTTCCTGCATTTGAACATGCATTTGAAAAATGCTGGCCTGGGGAAAGGGAAGTGGAAGGAGGTGACCTGTGAAAAGCAGGATGCCTGAGAAAGAGAGTACTACCATTGCTGCAACTCACAGAGATACCAGAACCAGCTGACAGTAAGTCGGACTGACCCTAAACTTGCTCTGGTGCACATTTTTAGTTCTGAAATAGAGATGATACTTCTGTGGAAAACACCTGTGATAACTACATCTCCCCTGTCTGGTTCCACTGATGTTAGTGGTTCAGCAGGGCTGAATCAGCTCCCCTTATTGTGTTATAAGTCTCTTAAAACTAAAACCCTGCTGCTTTGGTTTTTGTTTCTCATCTTCACCAGGGACCGAACCACCACAGTTGTGAATGTGGAAGGGGATGCCCTGGGAGCGGGCATCCTTAATTACCTGAATGAAAAAGACAAGAAAGAGAGAGAGCAGGAGCTCAAGGAAGTCACCGTAGAAGCAGTTGCTAACAGCAAGTCTGAAGCAGAAACGTCGCCTTTGGTAACCCACAAAAACCCAGTGTCCAACACAAGCAGCACAGCAGACCCTGAATCCAAGGAATCAGTACTGTGAACTCGAGGCCACTCGTCGACACCAGTCCTAGAGGTGCCTCAGGGACTTGTCAACGCACCCAGACGCTTGCAGTGCGACCGGGGGCTGGATGGCTCTTGGAAGTGCTCAGTTCCAGTCTGTTTTGAAATATGCTGGCCTGGGGAAGGGAAGGGGAGGGAGGTGGGGTGGGCAGAGAAGGGGTGTTGAGAAGGAACACTCGCTTTATAATAGTATTTTGATAGTTTATGTGTGTACATGTATACCTGTTGTGCTGCACACTTGTGTACATGTACGTGAGAACTGCCATCGAGGCTTCTGGTGTAACAAGACTTCCAGTAGGGAAGGCTCAGATGGGTTGAAGATAGGGAGGTAGACAAACTCAGTATGTGCTTATTGTAGGGAAAATTTTTTGCTGCTGTATGAATGGAGAAGCAGTCTAAAAACTCCAGAGTGGGTAAAAATGTTGCTTAAATTTGTTTTCTAGCCTGGAAACACATACCAACCATTACAGCCGTGATATGAAGCAACATTTTTCTCCCACTCCCCTTCCTCTCATGTTCTCCAATCCATTAAAAACATTGAATATGTCCTTAAAACTAGCTGTTTTCTATTTTTAAATTTTTTTTTGTTTCATACCTAAATTAATGGCTTACAGGGACTTGTTTCATTCTCTCTCTACATTGCAGCTCATAGCAGCTTTCCTTGGTTAGTAACTCCCAAACTGTAGGACCAAACAGAGGAGATCTTCGTGCAGATCAGGGGTTGGTTTCCTCCTTTCTTCTAACCAAGCTGTTAAGGAAAAAATCCAGAAGAACAAATTTTGTTAAAGTAATCCCTTTGGGGCTGAAAAAAATGCAGAGTCTGTTCCAGCATTAGTATGTCTGAAAGAGGCTTGCCTGTGACAACATCCATAAATCCAGAAATCAGTTCCCTTCATGAAAACACACATGATTCTCTGTTAGCACACCACGTCCTGCTCATGTTTATTTAATGGGTCAAACAAAACAACTTCAGTCATACTCTCTTACAGCCAAATTGAGTAGGGGAGGAAAAATTCTGAACACGCATCATGTGGATACTGATGACAGGCAACTCTGAGTCTTGGCTTGAAAGGGGAAGAAAAGAGGTGAGTTTTTAACCCCAGTGATCTCTGTCTGGGAGCTGGCAACCTGTTCCTGTTAGGAGTTTGGTCCTGTCATAAATGATTTTCTGGCAGCAGTTTACTTGCAGTAATTCTGGGTGGTGCTGGGCCAGGGTAATGCTTTCATGGCAGGTGGTAACCTTTGCTTGAAGTTCAGCAAAATGCTTCTGGATTCTTACTTCTCCTTTTTGCCTTTACATTGTCCTTCTTGAATTTACATCCCAAATCTGAACAAAGTCTGGCAAACTCATTTCAAAGATCCTGTTGCTTTATCTTGGCTCTTTGGATGCTAATAGTTAGAAAATTACAACTAGGCATGCCAAGATTTGCCTGGACTTGTGATGTTTTCCCTTGGCTACTTCAACAAGAGATTGCATATGGTCCATCTCCACACTGTTAATTCAGCAATATATATTTATACTTAGCTTTGATATAAAGTAATGCTAAAGTCTCCCTTTTTCTTTCTTCTCTCTTGCTTCAGAGGAATCTATCTTGGAAAGATATCAGCACTAGGAAGAGGCAACTCCAATTCCATAAGCAGCAGCTGCCTTCCTTTGCAAAGCATCCCTCCTGGTAAAGGGACACAATGAATTTTGCAGGAAGACACTCAGAGTGAGATGTGGCCATCCCTGAGTGCAGTGAGTGTGTCATGACTGGCTGGTTAACCCGGTGCACTGCAGCCATGCAGACAATCCAAGCAGGAAAGGATTAGTCAGCCCTCTGGGAAACTGCAGGTGGAGTTTCTTCTTAACCGGTTTATTTGTAACCATGTCCACAAAATTTGGTCATTCCTTGGCTCACTTTCAAAATGGAAGGAGACAAACACAATTCTTAGGGATGTCTTTTGCCCAGCAGATCAACTTCGCATTTCTTCCTGTTAGAATCATCCCGACTCCTTTCAACTCAGGAAACCAAAAAGCACATTTTAAGCATCTCTTTGAAATATCTGAGTGCACCAGAACCCCAAATACTGCACATTTTTAAGTCTAAGCATCTCTTTGAAATATCTGAGTGCACCAGAACCCCAAATACTTTGATTTTGAAATAGTATATGGGTGTCTCAAGGAAGCTGAAAATCTTGACTGTCCCCTGTGGGCTGGGTTCTGTAGTTTAATTTTATCCCTTATCAGATGTTTAGCTCCTGTGCTTTTGTGAGACCCCCTGGAATACTGTGTATAGTTCTGGTGTTCCCAACATAACAAGGACATGGAGCTGTCAGAGCAAGTCCAGATGAGGGCCACAAAGAGGATGGGAGCACATCCCCTGCAAAGACAGGCTGACAAAGTTGGGTCTGTTCAGCCCAGAGAAGAGAAGATTGCATTGCAACCTTCCAGTATCTGAAGGGGGTCTACAGGGAAGCCAGAGAGGGACTTTGTCAGGAACTGTAGTGGTAGGACAAGGACCAATGGATACAAACTGAAAGAGATTAAATTTGGTGAGATACTGGAACAGATTGCCCAGGGAGGTTGTGGTGCCCCAGCCCTGACAGTGTTCAAAGCCAGGCAGGATAAGGCCTTGAGTAACCTGCTCTAGTGGGAGGTGTCCCTGCACGTCAGGGGGATTGTGACTGGATGGTCTTTAAGGTCATTTCCAACCCTTTAACATTCTGTGGTTCTGTGCTGCTCTCCCTCACTGTGGATCAGCACATGAGGGCAGTACTAACATGACAATTCATGAAGCATCACAGCACCATTTCAGAGAACACATCACAATTTAAATTTTTTTTCACCCTGAAGCTGTTGTTGCCCACAGGTAGAAGTACTGCCCTGGGCAAACCCAAAGGCTGGGCTTCCTTGCAAGGCACTACTTTGCCTTTGCCATGTAATCCTCCTTCCCTATGGTGCTGCAGCTGGAGCGTGCCTCATCCTTGTAGCAGTGTGTCATAGCTTGTGGCACATTGTTCCTGACAGGGGATCCCAGGAAATGGAAAATTGAAGCAAATACCCCAGTATTAGTATTTTCCGCTAGCAATGCAGAAGCTCACAGTCTTCACTGAATGCTTCTCTCAGTCCCCACTAGTGGGTTGCCATGTTTTGCATCAGTGTGAATGCCTAGTCCCATGTTAGAGCAGTTGGATTTAAGGAGGTCAAATCATTCTCTTAGCAGGAATTTAATCAAGGAAATCTGATACTCCTTTTCTTGGAGACAGGTATTGTAGGATTTATATGAACCATGAGTATTCAGCTCTTAACCTGCCAGAAATCTGTAGTCTTACAGAAACCATACTTCAGACTTAAAAATGTGCCACGTCTTTTGTTGTTTGTGCACAAGAAGAGGAATCTATGGAAGCAGTAGTGCTGGATAATTACTGCTTGTCAGAACATCTTCTTGGTCATTTTTTAATAATTTGTGTCAGAATTTACATTTCTTGTTTTTCTGTGATGTTCCCATTCCTCATGATAGCCGTGATGCATTCTAGAACACTCTACCTGGATTGTTTTTTTGAGGTAGGACTATGAAAGATTCAGTATTGCATTCTCTGAGACTGTAAAAAATGTGGTACATTCCAACAACTGCCACTGTAATGATGTGGATCCTGGTGGTAAGCCTGATGAGGTGGAAGACTTGCCATTTGCTCTAAGTGGTCAGGGTCTTCAGGTGAGGCTTCTGGGAGAAAAATGAAAGGGCAGTGAGGCATGTACATTTGAGATGCTGTTCTTGACCTGCAGTGTAATGTGTTATACTGGGAGCTTTCTATTCCAGGAGGCTGTGAGCTGAGAAGGAGCTCAGGAGCCTTGCAGGTGCAGCCAGGGGTACCTGCTCTGCTCTGCTCTCACCCAGGCACTCCACAAATCTGGTGCCAGTGTGGTACTTAACTCCAATGTCTCTTGACTGGACATATATTTCTGTTCTCCTGATATAATTGTAAATTGGAAACCTTTTGTCAGTTGCTTTTTTTTTTTTTTCATTTTAGAGGAAATAAATTCCTTACAGAAAACACTATTTTCAGAAAACACTATTTTCTATTTGATTTTAGGTTGGTTTTCTTGTTGTTTTGTTTTTTTTTTCCTGGAAGGTACAAGTTCTCTCCTCCTCTCACATGCTACCCTCTAGTACTGAAATTGCTTTTTGAGAGAAAGATATGGAAATTACACGGTGTGTTTCTTGGGGTGTCCTGTGCAAGGCCAGGAGTGGGACTCGATGATCCTCTTGGGTCCCTTCCAACTCAGTGGATTCTATGAAATATTGAAGAGTCTGCAAGCCTTTTTGCAGTGAAGTTTCTTTGACCATTTTGCACCATCTTTTATTTCTTCTCTAGGATTCACTTTTCACTTCATGCTTTATTTATCACTGCCTGATCTCATCCTGTTTCCTGGAATACCCTGTGTTCTTTTTATGTTTCAGTGGCTCAGGAATAAATGGGAGAGTGGACAGAGTTTTGAGGCTCCAGTTTGCATTCTGCCTTGCTCCTGTCCTGGACTCAGCAGAGGCTTGTGAGCCTTGGTAATTTAGAGTTGCCCTGAGAGTGCCAAGCAGTATCTCTCTCTCATATTGAGAAGGGTGCTTGTTCTGTGCTGTGAGATATGAGTGTAGATGCCTGAAAAACTGTAGTGAGCAGTGGAAGATGCCAGGACTTGACTGCTTGTAGGATATTTTCAGTAAAGATTTTGAAGATCCTAAGAACTGAGCTTTACCTGAGTCTTGGTGTTTGTAATTGCTCTACAAGCCTGGGCAATTGCAAAGGACTTCAGCCCCTTCTGGGGATGTCTCTTGCAATCAGGATGGCTTTTGTGTTGAGAACGGACTAAAGCCAATCCCAGGGCTTCCCCTGCCAGGATGTGACAAACAGGACTGTGTCCCTCAGCTATAACAGAGATGTGGAGCCAGCCAAAGTACCACATGGGCTGGTGAAACAATCTCTGCTTTGTCTTTTCTGAGGAGGCAGTGGCCCTGAGGTGGGGAGAGACTGGGGGGGGCTGTGAGGGGCAGGCTTTCCTGGTGCTTTCCTGTTCCCATGCTCTTCCCTGGGTCTTTGCTGGGACTGATGCCAGATATGGACCTGACCCAGTGTCACCATTCCTGTTCTCCTGTGGTTCCTCCTTATTTTGCAGCAAGAACAATGAAATCTGAGGTGTTTACGCAGTTCCTCTCTCAGTCAAGTCAAAGTCCCTGTCATCTCTGTGAGTGACCACCCAGCCATATTTTGTAGGTTGTGTCCTCAAGAGCTTGCAAAAGGGACAAAATCACCACCTCTTCTGCAAAGACTTGCAGCATTGGTCAACAACCTGGGCTAAATCTTCACTCTGCTAACACAGAGCATTTCTGCAGCCACTGTAAAGAATCATCCTGTTGGAAGTGATAATTTTTAATCCTGACCCTCCCACAGGCAGTAAGCCATGGGCCTCAGGTACCAAGTCAAAAGACCAAAATATCAACTCTCACCAAAGAAAAATTGTTACGTCTTCACTGATTTTAACAGAGCCTTGGCAGTTCATAATGACAGAGCTGCCTGTAATC